TCTGCTACAGAATGCGTCACATATATCCATCACATGCTTGATTGGCATTTTAGAAGATGCTATTTGATGAACATAGAGACTAAAAGATTTTAAGAATAAAAAGAAGATGTAACCCAGAAAAAATATCTCTATATATCCACCAGTTTAGAATTCAACAATCAGCTCCGAATAGAGATAGGAAGACAAAGCCCATACGTTTGTATGTGTTGTTTCAGGTGGGTACATCATCAATACGTCGTTCTACAAGCTGTTCCCAGAAGATGGCGATGCAGTCGCTGCTGTATACCGAAGGAACGTGAAGATGCTGGAGTGTGAGGGGAAGTGGAAGCAGGTGCAGCTCAGGCGCTTCAAGGGATACCTGTTCGGAGATGACGGAGGTGTAGCTGTGTATCAAGTGCTTTAATACACAAGCAGTGGACAGTTGATAAACATGTCATGCAAGAATCCCCCCTGAACCCTGAATGTTTTATTTTTGTTATTTTGTTCTTATAACTCAATAAAGAGTTTTGAATTCGCAAATGGTGATGGGAAAATGGCAGTGATAGATGTAATTTTCTGAATAATGGAAATTTTAGCACAATTCCTTCACAATGAATAAAAAAAATAATAAATCACATTGTATTATGTACTATAAACTATTTTACACAGATGTTGATGTGAGCAAGTAAGGATGAGTATACACCATTTGAGCAATATCTCAGCTGTGGGACATCAGAAACTTGCTTCACACACTGGACCCATATTTTGAATAAGACACGGGACTCGTGAGCTTTCTGATCACCAGTTTTCCACTCATTATCCAGTGATAATGAAACATTGTGTTGTAGTGATTGGAAGTGAAGTAACGTTTTCGTTTCACACAATTACATCACTAATCTTGAGTACACTTACTGTAAAATTGGATATCTTTAAGTGTCAACACAAATATGCAACTCAACCATAGGATTTTATTTGCGCTTGAATGAGTCAGCTTTATCAGCAACATATGTTATATTTCGGATTACACTTTCTTACTAAAGTACAAATTCTAGTACTTTTTTTAGTTGAGCCCCATCCGGGATTCGAACTCACACCCATGGAGCTCAACTAAAAAAAGTACTAGAATTTCTACTTTACTAAGAAAGTGTAATCCCAAATATAACATATGTTACATTTGACCACTTTCTAAATGGCATTGTGTAATCATAGCTTTATCAGCACTTTGACCGATACCTCATTTGTATCACTCTAGGCCATCTTATGAAGATGAAAAGCCGAAACATTATATTTGGATGAGGTTTAATCCCGGAGCATGGTGCCTAAAACAAATGAATATTCTGCATTGCTGCGTTCCTCCTGCCAGTCACAGTATCCACCTGGATTGGAGAAACATTCAGATTTGTCGCTTTCCCCAAGCCTTGATTGCCTCAGTGACACACACACATGACACGTGTCGATTTGCCTCATTTTTGGTCTGTACATCGACTCATCTACCAACGGAAAGCTTTCATATTGTGGCTCTATGAATATTTTATGTCTGTTTCAGTCGCCTTGGTTACATGTTTTTTCCCTTGAAATGAATGAGTGAGTGAAATGAATGTTTTTACGCCGCTTTTAGCAATATTCCAGTATGATTGATTGAGAAGGGTTTGTCGCCGGATTCTGCAATATTCTTGCTCAATCACGTTTGGGACATCAGAAATGGGTTCCACACATTGTACACGTTGGGCCTCTTTGGCGTGATGAGCAAACGCTTTAACCACTTTTTTCCCCAACATGGAAAAGAGGAATGCAAATGAATGTTTAGTCGCCTTCATGATCAATGGGGCTAAGTTAGGTGTACCAGAGCTGTATTTCGCATATCTGATCATGATCACTGTCTGGATTGTCTGGTCCAGACTCGATTATTTACAGACCGCCGCCATATAGCTTGAATATTGCTGAGTGCGGCGTAAAACTAAACTCACTCACTCTTACATCAAATGATCAACCATACAAGCAACATCAAATATGATTACCAAAAATATGTTAATGCAAAGAAGTCAACCAAAGAAGCCTACAACAAGAACGAAAGGAACTTCTGCGCAGCCTCAGGCAACACACATTAACGTTTTACGCCACTTATGTCTGTGCTTTCGGAAGGGCATGACATGGTTACCTTTTTCACACAATTTACACACAAATCTTTTTTTGTGGTGACCCCCCACTCGAAATGCTTCACAGTACAATACATCATGATTTATTGTACTGTGAAGCATTTCGAGTCCGGGATCATCTCAAACTTTTTATATTTTTTTCTAAATCTGTAATCCTCGCAAAGACACGAGGACCTGTGGGGACTCGAAATGCTTTACAATACATAATGATTTATTGTACTTTGAAGCATTTCGAGTCAGGGATCATCTCAATTTTCGTTTCATTGTTTTTATATTTTTTTCTAAATCTGTAATCCTCGCAAAGACACGAGGGCCTCTGGGGTAGACTGGACAATCTGTTATCAATAGTCAGTCGGACGACGGGCACCCTTACAGATCTTCCAGGGTCAGGGATGCGCATGCAACGTCACATGAACATGACCTATAGCTACAAATCAGGTTACGTCATCTCTGCAACAGATTTGTGGCTGCGACCTTAACTTTCAGACAGTTGTTCAGAGGTTACTTCTTAACAATCTTGACTAACGCCGTAATTCAAATATGTGTTACTCTAACCATTCAGTTGTTGCGTTGTAAACTATTTAAGTGACTGGGTGAGTGAATTTGGTTTTACGCCGCACTCAGCAATATTCTACCTAAATGGTGGCGGTCTGCAAATAATCGAGTCTTGACCAGACAATCCAGTGATTAACAGCATGAGCATCGATCTGCGCAATTGGGAGCCGATGACATGTGTCAACCAAGTCAGCGAGCCTGACCACCCGATCCCGTTAGTCGCCTCATACGACAAGACTGGCTTACTGAAGATCAATATTCTAACCCGGAACTTTTTAAGACTGAATTGGACACTGAGGGTAACACTTGACTTCCAAGATACCAGCGAGGGATACTTGCTTGCTTAAGATGTGGCTCCCTAAAACGCGAGATATAAACGGGTCGATACTGCTCCCCTCCTATTCCCGCTACACAACGCTACTGCAAACACTGTACATACCAAGTTGAAGACGAAACACACTTCCCTTTACACTGTCCCTTTTATGACCATATCCGTATTTGTTATTTTAAAAATATGTTTTATGATACTCCTGTAGATATTACCATTTTAAATAACCATTGTAATTTACCACTTTGAGGAAGCATGTGCTTGAAAATGTTTATGCGTCGGAAATTATTTTATGTATAATTTAACAATAGACTTAATATGCAATTACTATATAATATACTAAGCAGCAAAAGAAACGTCAGTTTGTAATTTTCCTTCGCAGAAACGGATAACTGTAAGCTCATTTAATGTTTTGACTGTATATTTTTGACAACCTTTTAAACTTTACCTGAGCAAAAACATTCTTTCCCAAACTCAGAATGGAATTCAGGAAATGGTCTCAAAAACGCAACCTGATCTCGGAGATGGTATGGCGTTCTCCATGTTTTTTCATGCAACTCACGCTGCACTTGCTGTTCACAAGGACCGGCCCTTTAAAATGCACCCCCAAACCTGTTCACATTACACATTACAACGTCAGCAGGATGCCCCTTCTCACGACAGCTCAGAGGAACCAGGCGCTAGGAAGACTTGAAGCTGGCCACACGGCACAAGCCGTTGCCAATCACTTCCATCTACAGGCTGCAGCAAGGTTTCTGGGCCACCAACACCACAAATGATAGCTTTTGTTAAGTGGGGGTTGTTTGTCAATATGACTCCCATATCTATAGATGTATTAATCAAGTATGGTAAAGGTTTGCAAATCAAATCAAAAATGCAACATACTCTGAAAACATAACATGTATGCAACATCTGAGGCACAGTGACAAATGTTCACAACCGTCGATATCATATCACACGTGGGCTTGGCCTACATGTATGCCCATAAGCACTGCATGAACAAATCCCAGAAATGGTGACCGATGCGGTCCCCTATATTGACTTGCATCGTGCGTTTGCGAGGATGTTATGTTTTCAGTTCAGCAGTTGACTAGCCTTTGCATGTGTTTATGACGAGCGCTCGCATTTTCGCGAACACCAGGTATCATCACCATTTGATAGTGATTCAGCACACTAGGATTGCCCGGTAAAGATTTGATTGTTTACAGAGCTGGGCGTACAGCTGTTGTGCTGATGAATGCAGCGGCAAACAAACACATACTCATGATATGGTCAGAACACAGACCCTCGTGTCTTTGCGAGGATTAAAGATTTAAAAACAATGAAAAGAAAATTGAGATTACCCCCGACTCGAAATGCTTCACAGTACGGTAAATCATGATGTATTGTACTGTGGAGCATTTCGAGTCGGGGGTCATCTCAAGCAAAAATTGTTTTTAGTTTTTGATCTGTGCAAAGGCCTGTGAGTCAGAACTGTACAGACGACTCTGCTTTTAGCAGAGGTCTCTTAGAAAGGGTTTTATCGGTACTATTTGTAAAAGCTGAGAAATTTACTTTTTAGCATTATGAAAACGTGTTTTCGAGTTCACGTATAATTTCAGAGTGATGAACGCTTTCAAAAATGCATTGTATGTTGCTTCACCCATAATTTGAACGAGAAATTCTTTCTCATGTGTACTGTTCTTAATTCATACTGTATGACAATAGGGTGAAATATGTGCTGAGTAGATTCAAACTATAGGAAACAGGCACCATGACCTCAAATTCCAGTGACGGCGACCTTGACATAGTCTCATTGCAGTAACTTGATTTCAATTTGTATTGTTTGAAGCTGAGATCTCGAAGATAGTGTACATTTATTTAACTGTGTTTCATAAGCGCATGTTTATGATACAATTGGATTCGTAGGCAGACTCTGCTTAAAAAAGAAATGTGCTCTGATTATGGGGATGGTATATTTCAATCAAAGTCCAAAGCATTCGATGATTTAACCATTTAACATTGTTACACTTCTAGGCAAATTTATGATAAAGCAAAACAACAAAACGTCTCCTTATGATTAACATGTGCACGCACAAAATAAGACTTTGCTTCTCACAAACGTAAATCGGACATGACTTAAAACAATGTACAAATAAATGGAAAACTATTAAAAATACGAACTTCTTAATACAGTGTATGTATCTCACCAAGCCACTATCAAGCATAAATGTTTGTGCACAATTCTAAACCTGTGACACACTGTGAAGAACAACGTTACGAGCGCTAGCATATGTACTTGCAGAGTCTATTCAGCTTTTAGGTACTGAGGTAAATCATGTTAAAATAATGAAATCAATATAACAGATGTTTCAAAACAATACCCTATTTCCTTTAGCAAGAATTGTTTACAGTTTTCCTGACACGTGTTCTCTGTCACCCCTGCATTATAGAACTTTGTGGACTGAAACAGCACCATCTTCTCCACAAACATAATCCGTAAAGTGCCTCAGCTCCACTAGTGTCCACTTTCCTTGCGATTCAAGAGCCTTCATATTGTTCCGAAATATGGCTGCTTCAGCATCACCATCTTTAGGGAATATCTTGTGGTAAGTAGCATTAATGATGTATCCTCCTGAAACGACAACGTGGAGGTACAATTTTATATCAGCGTGGGAATGTTTTCCTATTGCAAGTCCGAAATGTTTGTGAAAAAGGAAGTATTAATGAAGATCTCATGTTGAAAGAGAACGTACTTTGAGAGGCATGACACCAACATCAACTCAACTAAAAGTACTTTTCGATTTTTTTAAAGATCACTTTGAAGCAAATCAGATCAAAACTTAAAAGTCGGGCACGATCAAGATGACATATGTGTTGCTGATTGTGAAAATGAAACTCATTCATTCATAAAGATCAATTATTCCTATGAATATATACTACTTACCTGGTTTTACAATTCGGATAAGCTCCTCAAATGCTTTTCTGGGCAATTTCTTCATTACCATAATGCTTAACCCCGAAATCGTAACAGCATCGTAAGTGTCTGAGAAGTATAAAGCATGTCAGTGTTCACGTTTTTTCTGTGGTATATGGCGGAGGTATGACATCTTCGCTGAACCTGGATGTGCATTATAACAGTATTTTGCGATCAAATCATAAACAGAACTACACAAAGAAAGTCCGGCTGACATTTCCATTAAGAATTATACATATATAAATTATTATTTTGCACCGTCATATAGCTTGAATATTGCTGAGTGCGGTGTGAAACTAAACTCACTCACTATTATTTTGCAGGATCTACGTTTCTGCAATTTGACTCGCTCATCACATTCCGGATAAAAGCACAGTCCCATCACGTTCAAAATAGAACGTCGCTCAAATGACTGTTTCTGGATCAGGTACACATGTCATAAGTAATCATGTTCACATATGATGGAACCCGTGAAGGTCCGGGCTAGAATGAACCTTCAGTAACCCATGCTAAGTCTTGTCGTAAGAGGCGACTAACGGGATCGGGTGGTCAGGCTCGCTGTCTTGGTTGACACATGTCATCGGTTCCCAATTGCGCAGATCGATGTTCATGCTGTTGGTCACTGGATTGTCTGGTCCAGACTCGATTATTTACAGACCGCCGCCATATAACTGGAATATTGCTGAGTGCGGCGTAAAACTAAACTCACTCACTCAGTAACTCACATATGATGGAAACATGCCATATTTTCATATCAAATAAAGAGAAATACGCACCACTTTCTATGTCGACATTATTTTCTCCTAGCATCACATTGAAGTACCGGCCGTAGATGCCTTTCTTCTTTGCCTCCTCAAGCATTTTTTCTGATGGTTCTAAAGCATCGATTTTGCGAAAACCGTGAGAGCCCAGCTGTGAAATATAAGGTCTTGTATTTCATTCATATTTGATTCTCAGCCACATACTATGCAAGCACAGGGTCATGGTCCCTTTCAGAGTATAGGAACATGTATCCATGTTCTTCAAGACAGATTGCCAATGCCATTAACACAGAATACATATCAGTTTGCCAATTGAATTACAGAGCAGACTTATTCTTGTTGACTGAACAATAACAAGTACGCAGCAGATTCACCTTATCTCCACACAGTCCTGTTCCGGCAGCAGCATCCAGGATATAGACATCCTGTCTGTTCTTCGGAAACCAATCAGCAGCAGATTGAGCACACTGGACGTGACCTGTGAAGTTCATCTTTCCCAAAACCTTCATACACAGCAACGAACACATTTGTATGAATAAATGGGATTTCAGAAAGTAGATAATATGAAGTATTTGCTATAAAGCAGAAGGCTTTAACATGCCGCAAGTATGTATGTATGTATGTATGTATGTATGTATGTATGTATGTATGTATGTATGTATGTATGTATGTATGTATGTATGTATGTATGTATGTATGTATGTATGTATGTATGTATGTATGTATGTATGTATGTATGACTTGTATGTATGACTTGTATGGATGGATGGATGGATGGATGGATGGATGGATGGATGACAGTTGTGCGAACAATTGTGCAAAAATCCAAAGAATGTTTTTTTAGAACTTCAATGTAATGTGAAGGCTTCTTTAAGCTTTAGCTCAGTTGTCAAATAAAGTATGTGTTTACAATACATGTCAAAAGACAATGTTAAAGAAAATGACATTGTCAAACATTACTCAACCTATATACATCGTATTGTTTAGAACCGCTACCAAAATCAACATTTCAGTATGTAATTTAAATACCCTTTCAGTTACTAAGAAAACCATGAACCAAAGGTAATCATAAGACACAATATCCGTTTTTATTCCCTATTAAATCAAATGCAAACATATGGTTTCACTGTTGCTGCTTTTGTGTTCATAATAAAGTAATGAAATCGTATTTGCTTTAACACCCACCTTCTCGTAACAATGACTGTTTTGGGAAAATCTATCAATAATGACATCTGGCTCAGTAGAATCGTCTCCGATCAACAAACGAAAGGCGTTTTCGGCTTCTTCCATTTCCTTCTGTGATGGGTTTCCAGAGATTCCCCTACTCATGGTTCCTGTTAGTTCTGGGGGGTGAAGATAAACATATGCAATGGAAAAAATCACGAGAATCTATTGATACCAATCTATTTAATTGGTGTCCCCGAAACGTTGCTGCAGCCTGTAGATGGTCCGAACGTTGACCTGGAAGTGATTGGAAACGGCTTATGGAGTGTGGCCAGCTTTAAGTCTTCCTAGCGCCTGGGTCCTCTGTGCTGTCGTGAGAAGGGGCATCCTGCTGACGTTGTAATGTGAATGTTTCAACCAGGTTTGGGGGTGCATTTTAAAGGGCTGGTCCTTGTGAACAGCACGTGCAGCATGAGTTGCATGAAAAACATGGAGAACACCGTACCGAGATCACGAGATCAGGTTGCGTTTTTGAGACCATTTCCTGGGTTCCATTCTGAGTTTGGGAAGGAATGTCTTTGCTCAGGTAAAGTTGGAGATGTTATCAAAAATATACAACCAAAACATTAAATGAGTTTACAGTTATCCGTTTCAGCGAAGGAAACGTCCAAACTGACGTTTCTTTTGCTGCTTAGTATACATTGAGCTTAAACTACGTAATATAACGTCCTCGCTGATATGTAGCGGTGTATGGTCCTCTCCTTAGAGCTCAAGTTACACATCAGTTGAAGTTAAGTAATGTTGGGCACGCAGAGTAATTGGATGGGTGACCGTGTTTGGCAGCTTGACTCCTGAGAGTTTCTAGGACTTCAGTCCTGCCCAACAATGAAACACATGACTTTGCATCACATCTGGTCTCACCTTAGGCAAGTGAGTTTGTTCATAATGATAATGATAACATAATGATTCCCTAGCCATCTGTCACAAATTCACATTACATTAGATGTATAACATTACTTATTATTTCATTTTCAATTTGTTAACACACCGTTGCAATTTCCACTTTGTCGATTCCATTATCAACTATGTTTTTACATATGTTTAAATACATTTTTCAAGGCACGTACTTTATGTTTTATTATATTTGTCATGAATATCAAGGTACCTGATATCAAGGATATTCCTGATTTGTACAAACATTTCATAACCACAAGTTAAAGACAGGCGCATGACCATATCACGCAGACGCATGTTCATATGAGTTTGACTTGATGTTGAACGCAGCAGTATTTCGGCTACAGTGAAACTTGTCTAATCCGGCACCCCACGGGACTGAAATAAAATGCCGGTTTAGACAGGATGCCGGATTAGACAGTGACGATCATTTTCCAACATGGCTGCCATTTACACTCGTCAGTCTCTCAATCTAGCGTGCCGAAGGAGTGTATTTTTGGGATTAAGGGACCTTGATTGGTCTGCTTATACCCATGCCGGTTTAGACAGTGTTAATTACAGTTGAAATTGCTTGTTGGGACCGGAAAGTCGTGCCGGAATACGGAATAGACAGGTGCCGGATTAGACAATGTTGAAGTGATCATAATATCGTTGTAAAATGGTGGAACCAAAATGTTATGCCGGTTTTGACAGTGTGCCGGATTAGACAGGTGTCGGTGTTAGAAGGTTTCACTGTATATGACAGTGGTCTATAGACAGCACCCGCATCGAGCTACCCAACCGTCATACGATGACATGGCTCGACCAACTTCGACAGCCTTAACAAGCTGATCCCATGAGTCGCCTCTTACGAAAAGCATGGGTTGCTGAAGGCGAATTTTAACGCCAATCGCCATGGGTCATGTAAACAAACATGTATAGATTGGTCGTGTAAATGAACCCTACTGAAATACCTTGACACATGACAAGCAGATGTTAAAGTATGGTTTTCATTCTACGTGGTTAGATACAGATACAAATAATACACGTTCCTTGGGGTTACATACAGGTTTTAAACGTCTAAATATTTTAGATTATAGATGTCTGATGTACTGAAACCAACAATACCTAGTCTCTAAATGTCACAAATTCTGTTCTTATCTCATCACAAATTCTGGCATTTGTGTTATTTTAAATTATTGCTAAATTTTCCTACAATCGCCAGCGGCTGAAGAGATGATGTAAATCCATTTATTTTTAATTTATAATTTTCTAAAGTCACGATATGGCTGAAATATTGCCGATGTGACTATAAATCTTAACTCACTCACTCACTCATCACAAATTCTTACGTATACACGATGCATGGCCATTTTTGTTGTACACTACGGTTAAAACCAAGATATCACTAATTCTGGTTCGTTATAACCGTAGATTACTATACGTATTATTATTCGACGAAAATATGCAAGTGGCCGGGACCCGAAAACAGTTCATCATGTCCGTCATTTCGTGATAATGATGTGAACATCTATAGCACTAGATTCCATACACCAAGTGCATGCTCAAAGCGCATGTAAATTAAAGAATTCCACAGTTCATTATTACCCCGGATAACCCAAGGTGCCTGTGAGGCGCTAGAAGGTTACATGACTTATCCCACCGGGTACTTATTTTTTGCTGGGTGAACAGAGGCAATTTTGAACAAACTCACTCGCCTAAGGTGAGACCAGATGTGATGCAAACTCATGTGCTTCATTGTTGGGCAGGACTGAAGTCCTAGAAACTCTCAGGAGTCAAGCTGCCAAAAACGGTCACCTATCCAATTACTCTCCGTGCCCAACATTACTTAACTTCAACTGATGTGTAACTTGAGCTCTAGGGAGAGGACCATACACCGCTACAAATCAGCGTGGACGTTATACTACGTACTAGTTTAAGCTCAATGTATACTAAGCAGCAAAAGAAACGTCAGCTTTGAAGTTTCCTACGCAGAAACGGATAACAGTAAACTCATTTAATGTTTTGATTGTATATTTCTGACAACATCTCCAACTTTACCTGAGCAAAGACATTCCTTCCCAAACTCAGAATGGAACCCAGGAAATGGTCTCAAAAACGCAACCTGATCTCGGAGATGGTACGTTGCTCTCCATGTTTTTCATGCAACTCATGCTGCACGTGCTGTTCACAAGGACCAGCCCTTTAAAATGCACCCCCCAAACCTGGTTGAAACATTCACATTACAACGTCAGCAGGATGCCCCTTCTCACGACAGCACAGAGGACCCAGGCGCTAGGAAGACTTGAAGCTGGCCACACTGCACAAGCCGTTGCCAATCACTTCCAGGTCAACGTTCGGACCATCTACAGGCTGCAGCAACGTTTCCGGGCCACCAACACCACAAATGATCGCCCCTGTTCTGGCAGACCAAGGGTGACCACAAGACGACAAGACCGCTATGTTGTGCGACAGCATGTACAGAATCCCTTCATGCAGGCATCCCAAACAGCACACCAGACAATGGGAACACACGGAAGACCAATCAGTACTGATACAGTACGCCGACGTCTTAACAGCGGGAACCTTCTTTGCCGTAGACCTTACCGTGGACCTATCCTCACCCCTCGTCATCGTCGTGAACGTCTACAGTTTACCCTACAACACCAAAACTGGCGATACAGGCAATGGAGAACTGTTTTGTTCACAAATAAGACGGTACTGCGTATCAACTGCAGATGGCAGAACAAGAATATGGCAACGACGTGGCCAGCGTTACTCAGACCATTGTGTTATGGAAAGCGACTCATGGGGAGGTGCAAGCATCGTGGTATGGGGTGGAACAGGCCTGAACCAGAGAGTGGGTCCTGTGGTGTTCCAGAACCTTGTTCCAGGGAGAGGAGGCGGCATCACAGCGGTGCGCTACATCGACCAAGCTCTCAGACCCCACGTCATACCACATTTCGCACGTCACCGGAACAACATTTTCCAGCATGATAACGCCCGGGCCAATACTGCCAGAGCTACACGGGATTTCCTACAGCAGAACGGTGTCAACATTATGCAGTGGCCAGCCCTTAGTCCTGATTTAAACCCCGTTAAACATCTTTGGGATGAAATTCAGAGGAGACTGAATAATGTCATACCGAGGCCGAACACAGCCGATTTATTGCGCCAGGCCTTTCTCAGAGTGTGGTTCATGGTGCCAATGGCCTTCATCAATCGATTGGTGCATTCCATACATAGACGCTGTGCTGCAGTTATTGCCGCTCGTGGTGGTCACACTAGATACTGAAGTCAAGAGTCTGAATGGACTGCAAACTTTCACGTAATGTCTTGATGTGTCAAGATATTGTAGACAAAAAATGTTTTTGATCCGCTTATTATGTTCATTTCTGTAATGATTTGATTACAGTGCCTATCTAATTTTGAATTCGTACTGACGTATTTTTTGCTGCTGAGTATATTTACTCACCTGTCCTGTACTGTACACTGCACAGAAGTGATGCGAAAATGCGACTTGGTCTTCTGTGGCGTCAAAACCACAGCTGAAGTTTATGTAGGATTTATTTATCCAATCAGATTTAAGGGTGTAAGAAAAACAATTTCTCGTTGTGATCCCGCAGTGAAACATCTGCAGACATGGTTTATTCTAACCCAACCTATTCAGTTACATGTTGATCAACATACAATATTTTATGATGCGAGTAACGGGGACCACAAATCTACAAAAGTCTCTTGAATCACATGTTTCTGTGAGAAAGCTTAAAATGTTTGTCTATTCAGCTGTATCTCTGCAAATGTGCATTGCTCTTATGTGTCTCCTTCTTCCGTTATATGTTGGGACAACAAGCCTGCACATATGTATTCACTTGAATGGTTGACCACAAGCAAACGTGCATGCACTCAATCAGATGAATGTTGAGAATTCAAACTTACATGTGCTTCTTTATGCAATTAAAAGGTTGATATACATATCTTCAAATGAAGCATGTTGAATGCTTCTGTCAGTAACAAGCCAACATAAGTCTTTTAATTAAGTTTCAATCGATGGTTTGTGGATGATTTTAATATTTCTTGTCGCGGTAATTTTTTTCATATTTTTGTCGCGGTAAAAATATGCATACTATTGAACGGCAACTGCACTTGTGCTTAAACAAAATAAATAAATGGTGTCTTGAAAAGGGCTTTACTTTTTCTAAGTAAAAAACAAATTGTATGCACTTCTGTAGAAAATATAAGCTGTATAACGACCGACAACTATCTATTAATGGCACTAGCATCAAAGTTGTCAAAAAGGCCAAGTTCTTCGGTCTAATTTTCGACTCTCAATTAACTTTTCGTCCGCATATCAAATACCTTAAAAATAAATGCCTGAAGGCACTCGATTTATTGAAAGTAGTTTCTAATTCAAAGTTGGTAGGGGATCGAACTACCCTCCCACACCTATATAGATCGTTGGTCCGCTCGAAGCCTGGTTATGGCTCCATCGTATATGGTGGAGCCTGCAAAAGCAACCTAAAACCAAGGTCTAAGACTTTGTCTTGGGTCGTTCAGAACTTCTCCTGATGACAGTCTCTACGTCGAGGCCGATGAACCATCTCTAAACCAACGCCGTAAAAGATTATCTTTACAATATATTACAAAACTAGTCCCCCTCCTGGGCTCAAAATTAAACCATTCATTTCTGCTGCCGGCAGTGAGCTGGAAAATATCTCCTTCCTTGGCATTTGGTTAGGCCACATGTTGACCTAACATTAACCACATTTAAAAATCAGAAACTAATGAATTACAGTATAAACAAGAATTTAGTCAATTAAGAAATAAATATGATACATATAACCCTTATTTACAAATGGGTCCAAGGGTGGTGGCGCAGTATCGCAGTGGATCCAGAACAATATCTTCTCGATTGCCTAGTAACAGCGGTATTTTCACAGCAGAAGCTAACACCATATTAACAGCCTATAAAATATATTAATAAACACCCTAAATATAAACAATATATCATCATTTCAGATTCTCTTTCGTGCCTTCAGGCTATTAAAAATCTGTCTTGCAAGCATCCACTTTAATTGAAATTATTGAATTATATAATGATCTTGCTACTGGCCAATGCGACATCGTCTTTTGTTGGTTACCCAACCATGTTGGAATCTCTGGTAACACAATGGCGGATCTTGCGGCCAAGGCAGAACCCAACAAATCTGTGACACCACTTCTCATTCCATACTCATTACAAAGCTATCATTAGATCTTATATCCGTTATCTACTGCAAAAGAAGTGGGACACCCAAGTAGGTATAAATAAATGACATGCCATAAAACCCTATATCGGTTACACCTACATGGGTTGTCAGTCCAGATTTGATGAGGTCATTATGCGACGAAGTCGCATAGGCCATACTAGATATACTCACGAATATTTATTGAAGGCGAAGATCCTCCGTTTTGTATCCCTTGTGATGAGAGAATCACGGTCAAGCATGTCCTGCTTGACTGTATTGCTTTTGCCATCACAAGGGATACATATTTCAGTGTCAAAACAATCAAGGATCTTTTATATAATGTAAATTATCATTCAGTAGTTTTTTAAAAGAAATAGAATTGTTGGATACATTTTGAACAACATGGTTTGTAAATAGATAAATGGAATTGTATAAATGGTAGTATAAAGTAGCAACTGCGATTGTTAGTGGCTGTAACCTCAAAGGGGGTTAAAGTATCGTAAAATGATTTTCCTCCTGAGAGGAGTCCCAAAACTTTCAAGGTAAATTTAAACTTAGCAAATTTTTAAATGTAGGATTTTGGTTATTTTAAGTTTAGGCTATATTTTCCTACAATCGCCAGTGGCTGAGGGGATGGTGTAAATCCAGCTAGGCCCATGCAGGTAGCAAAGGTATTGTAAGTTCCCATGGTCCCTAGTATGATGATCTACCTTCAGTTGTTGGCGATCTAGAGCCTGTTTTTATATTGTATCGTCATGTATAGTTAAATTATTTTAGATTAAATTACTAGTTTTATATTAATGTCTGTGATAATCTACTTGTTTTTGCTGTCCTTCGTTGATATATGTTTATAATTTACTTTTAATCGTTGTAAATCTATAATTTGATGTAGTCACCATATGGCTGAAATTTTGCCGATGTGACTATAAATTTTATTAAGTTTGATATTTGGTCGACAAGCCTGCATGCTCATATGTCTGACAGTTAAAATGCATGCTCTGCAAGCAGCACTGTTGGTTAGAATAAACTGGTTGAATTAATAATCCCTGTGTAACAGTCCTACGAGTGACTCAAATGACCAAATAGGAACTTTGATCAACCTACACGTACCCGAGAAGATCTGAGTTAGACATTCAAATACATTTGCTTGCTGGGACAGGAAAGTATGGGGACAGGATGTCAGGCTCGTTAACGTAGTTGATGCGTAAATCCCATTGTGATAATCACTGGATTGTCTGGTCTGCATTTGTTTACAGACCGCCAGGATACAACTTGAGAGAGACTATTCCTCAGAACGTTTTTAACATCAAACAGTTGTAAATGAGGACGAGTTTGCTAAACACTGGAAGAAAATGACCGAATAGAAAACATTCTTTTGACGTGCCTTACAATAATGAAGCAACATTTTATGTTTTTATGACTCATCTTAATATTGGGTGGTAAGGCTCGGTGGCATTGATGGACCACGCACCTGTAGAGCACAATGGGTGTTATTTTGAGGGCCACCAAATTACAAATAAAGCAAACAACGAAGTATGCGGATGTGATATGGCAGTGTAATTACTTTGTTAAACAATCACGTAACTGTGTAACATAGTTTCTGCTACGTGTCGGCTGAAGTTCATAACGCTGTGTTTCGACAATAAGCAGTAAGGGGTTTGTATTACTATCTTTTGAAAGAGGAGTGTGGTAGTTACAATATTCAGCTATAGAGTAATTTGGCTTTCTTATAGAACTTCATATTGAACTTTCTAGAGTGTATTTTAGAGGGTGTGGTGGTGTCTGGTCCTGTGCATAGAGCTCAGGTCACACATCAGTTGAACTTAAGCAACGTTGGGCGCGGAGTGTCCTTGGATGGGTGACCGTGTGTGACAGCTTGACTCCTGAGAGTTTCTAAGACTTCAGTCCTGCCCCACAATGAAGCACATGTGATACATGTGGTCTCACCTTAGGCAAGTGAGTTGTTCACCCAGCAGAAAATGGGTACCCGGTCATGAGACTATTAACCTTGTGTTATCCGGGCTAATAAAGATCAGGGGCGGTGGGGTAGCCTAGTGGCTAAAGCGTTGGCTCGTCACGCCGAAGACCCGGGTTCGAATCCCCACATGGGTACAATGTGTGAAGCCCATTTCTGGTGTCCCCCGCCGTGGTGTTGCTGGAATATTGCTAAAAGCGGCGTAAAACCATACTCAGTCAGTAATAAAGATCAGAGTGATATGTGAGGATCATGTTTTCACTCTGGAGATGAAGCCAGTGCTAGCGTTGGAAACCGAACCTCTGTTACTGTTAGATGAATATTATTATCCTTTACCGCACCACTATTTCTACTGTTATTATATTTCTACTGTTATCATATTTCATACTGTCATTGAAATTTATACTCCTACCGTTACGCAGCAGGTTTCATTTATTTTTAAAACTAGTTCATTTTATATTATATATTCATTTTCTAATAATATAATGCTAGTTGTAAGCTAAGGTTTTCTTGTGGTTTCATACTGAATTCATTTGATTATAGATTTCTTTTCAACTTTTTGTTTCAATTTGTGTCACCTTACACAGTGCATGCCTATCAATGTCACTGTATGTGAATACCTAATTGTATCTAAAAGCATTATGATACCTAAAGCAGGCTGGTAATCATTTCAACAGTTCTCATAAACCATTACAAATGACAATACGTATGTCAAAACACGGCGGCACCAGCTGCCATCCAATGTCTGGATATCCAACATGAGTGAGTGAGTTAACATTTAACGTTACCTCGGCAATATTTCAGCCATATAGTGACATATATGAAGTTTTGCATATATGATAGATAGACGTTGCTTAAAATCCAGTCATCAAGGACTGTGAGCTACAATATCACAGATTGCATTTAAAACTAGCATGTAAATCTAAAAGTACTTTACTGTTGAAGATAATATAATATAAAATCAGGCTATAGGTCGCCAACAACTGAAGGTACATCACCATTCTTAGGACCATGGGGACTTGCAGTGCTTTTGCTACCTGCAAGGATCTGTTACGTGGTATACAACCTGTGTAACCAGCTGAGAGTCACCTCCCTACTCTTAGAGTGTGACGTCACCAGTTGTTGTGTATTGTATGTCCGCCATTAAACGAAGTCAAGTAAACTGTGTCGTCAGTGATATTTTGACAACTAATACTACATGTATTGTAGTAGGTGTCTGTAAGACACGTAACATGGTGGCAGCGGGTTCTGAACTCACTCTCTGTGTCACGTAAGCTGTGTATCAGTTGAACATTAACTTTGTACAAGTTTGTCTACGAGTTCACACGCCGTGCACTCGCGACCACGTGCTACTATCCGACAGTCGAAAAGTGACCTTCTACAGGTGTGTATGACTTATGAGTGCTGTCAGTCATCCTTAAACACTATCTCACGATTCTGTATGTTATCAGTGTGTAGGAAACAGTTATGTCTGACCAGGAAGCAAATGCACGTCCTCCTAGCACTGTAAGTGGTATCAAGGCCCCTTCACACTTGAGTATTGAGGGGAATATAGCAGAAAATTGGAAGATTTTTAAAACAGAAATGGACCAATTACTCTATCCTCATCAACTTTCAACAATACAAGAGAGACTATCAGGTAGCACTACCCCTCCATACCCTTGGTGATGAAGCACTCAAAGTATATAACGGCTTTCACTTTGACACTGCTGATGATGTGAGAACTGTTAAGGAGATTATTCAGAAATTTGAAGATTTTGCTGTAGGTGAAATCAATGAAACCTATGAACGTTATGTGTTCAACAAACGAGTGCAAACAGAAGGGGAATCATTTGAGGCATTTCACAGTTCTATTCGCTCTCTTGCCAAAACGTGCAACTACTGTAACAACTGTGTGCCATCAATCATCAGAGATAGACTCATACTTGGTATACGTGATCACACAACTCAGCAAGCACTTCTGAAAGAACGCGATCTGACACTGAACAGATGTATTGACATTTGTAAAGCAGCTGAAAACGCTACAACACAGTCTAGAATCCTCAGGCCAGAAACCATAAATAGCGTGAGAGTCCCATTCAGAAACAAACACAAGCCTAGACACAAGAACACTCAACACAAAAGTGGACGTGATAGACAGTCAGAGTCTACCAAACCTAATTCCAGTCAACATCGTCACGCACCTAAAGAACGAAAATGCAAGTACTGTGGATACTCTCATGTCATGAGCCGTGAACAGTGTCCAGCATGGGGCAAAAGATGTACAAAATGTAATGACGAGAATCACTTTGCACAAGTATGCCCTAAAAGACAGCCTGAGAGAAGAGTAAATAATGTGGAAGACACTTCTAGTTCTTCTGAGGATGAAGAATGGATCAACTCTGTAACTTCCACTTTGGACAATGGGTGAAATGTCGCATGACCATAAACGGTAAAGATGTAGTCTTCACTGTTGACCCCGGTGCCTCTGTTAACATCATCCCTTCTAGCCTGATAGGTGACAAACTGTCAGAACTCTGTGTTACAAACAAAAACTTGCGAATGTGGAATGATACCAATGTCACACCCATAGGAACTGTGCGCCTGTCTGTAAGAAATCCGGCTAACAACAAGAAGTACTCGGTTGAATTCATGGTTGTTAATGAACCATTGACTCCTCTCCTAGGTGTTCGTACAGTAACTCAGATGAAAATAGTTACTATTCATGAAGAGAACATTGAGAGGATTGCAAACATATCTGTTGAAAGCCAGTTCGTCGATGTATTCGATGGGAACCTTGGATGCTTTGAAGGACAAGCTCATCTCACACTTGACCCAAATGTGTGTCCAGTCGTCATGCCAAACCGACGTGTGCCAATAGCTCTACGATCCAAGCTGAAAGCTGAACTTGATCGCATGCAACAAGCAGGAGTCATCATACCTGTGAGTGAACCTACTCCATGGGTTAGTCAGATCGCCATTGCAGTAAAAAAAATCTGGTGAACTGCGAATCTGTCTCGATCCTCAGGAATTGAACAAGGCCCTACTTCGAGAACATTACACATTGCCAGTACTTGAAGACACTCTGCATGAACTCAGTCAATCGAAAGTATTCTCTAAAGCAGACCTTTCATCTGGCTATCTCCATGTTCAACTAGATGAGGAATCCAGTAAGCTGACAACGTTCCAAAGCTGTTTCGGACGCTACAGATGGCTCCGACTACCTTTTGGCACATCCGTATCCTCTGAAATTTTTCAGAAGAAACTGAACATGGCACTTGAAGGTCTCCCTGGTGTAGTGTGTATCACTGATGACGTCCTTATACATGGGAAAAACGATGCTGAACATGACAGCAACTTACTTGGTTTCTTGCAGCGATGTCGTGAAAAGCATATCAGACTGAATCGCAGCAAGCTACAACTGCGTATGAGTGAGATAACATTCATGGGACATCTCATCACAAAGCACGGTCTGCAAACTGACCCTGAAAAAGTCAGAGCTATCAACAATATGAGTCCTCCAACAAGTGTTGAAGAACTTAGACGCTATCTTGGATTGGTCAACTACATGGCCAAATTCCTTCCCAATTTGACAGACGTCACTGCACCAATGCGCAACCTTGTCAAGAAAGATGTACCATGGAACTGGTCATCAGCTCAACAGTCTGCCTTTGACACAGTGAAAGATATGATCACTACAGCCCCAGTACTCTCATTCTACGATCCTAAGAAAGAGCTAACCTTGGAAAACGATGCAAGCGAATATGGACTTGGCGCAGTCCTGCTTCAAGAAGGAAAGCCAGTCGCTTTTGCAAGCAGATCCCTTGCTGATAGCGAAAGAAGATACGCTCAAATTGAAAAGGAAATGCTGGCTGTAACCATCGGACTCGAGAAGTTTCACCACTATACCTTTGGCCGCTCAGTGAATGTTGTCACTGATCATAAACCACTAGTCGCAATTGTGAAGAAACCACTCTCGAAAGCGCCCAACAGACTTCAATCTCTCCTACTGAGAACACAAAAGTACAACTATAGTCTTACCTACAGGCCTGGCAAGACAATACCTGTTGCTGATACCCTGTCAAGAGCACCACTGGCTGATAAGCCCACACTTGAAACCGTGTTTGTAAACAACATTGCCCACTTGTCAGTATCCGATGATCGCTTGAATGAGATCAAAGCTGCAACAGCAAAGGATGACACCCTACAACATCTGAAAGCAACGATAATGCATGGATGGCCCAATGACAGACAGCAACTGAAACCGGAACTCCGAACCTACTTCAGCTATCGTGATGAGCTCACAATACAAGATGGTATCATCCTCCGTGGATCCAGAATAGTCATACCTTTATCTCTAAGAAAGAAAATCAAGGAGAAGCTACACATTGGTCACATGGGAATTAACTCCTGTCTTCGACGCGCTCGAAACCTAGTTTTCTGGCCAATGATGTCGAGTGAAATAAGACAATACATAGAGACTTGTGATATTTGTGCTCGATTCTGCGACAAACAACATCAGGAACCCCTACATATGCATGACATCCCTGACCTGCCTTGGGACAAAGTAGGAACTTACATATTCACTCTGAAAGGCCGAAACTACCTCATTACCACAGATTACTACAGCAACTTCTTTGAAGTTGATTTCCTCCCTGAAATCACCTCTGAAGCTGTGATACAGAAACTGAAACCACACTTTGCTCGTCATGGCATTCCATCAACAGTCATAAGCGATGGTGGACCCCAATATACCGGCAATAAGTTCCAGAACTTTAGCAAGAAGTATGGTTTCAAACATGAAACGTCCAGCCCTGGTAACAGCAAAGCTAACGGTGCAGCAGAGGCAGCCGTTAAGATAGCCAAAAGAATGATGAAGAAATGCAATGCAGCAAATGAAGATCCATACCTAGGTCTTCTCAACATCCGAAACACCCCAACCGAAGGTCTTCAAACGAGCCCAGCACAACGTTTGATGGGACGCAGCACTAGAACACAAGTACCCAGTACCCTCGAACCATTACGACCATCAAAGTTCAACCATGAAAAAGAAGATCTTGAAGACAGAAGAATGTGCATCCTTGATAGACACGATACGTCTAATCCAGGCCAAACCCTCAAACCACTGTCAACAGGTGATACAGTCCGCATGCAGCCCATACAAAGTGGGAAGACAGAATGGTCTGAAGCTACAGTCACCGGGAAGCTGAAAAGTAGAACTTACACGGTGCAGACAAATGATGGGTACAAATACCGACGCAATCGTCAACAACTCCGTCTCATGAAGAAGTCCCGACGTCCAGAACCTACTAACATAGAGATACCAGTCTCTGACCCTCCACAGCCTGCAGTAGCAACCCAGCAGAACAACGTTCCGAGAACTCCGTCGACAACGTCTACACCTGAAACACTCCCTAAGCAACAACCTCCTGATGCTGACCACCCGCCAGCATACCACACCAGATCCGGGAGAGCAGTGAAATCCATCCGCAGACTTGACTTATAGACTCATAAATGATTATCAAGTTCAAGCAGTAAATTCCGTCCAAGACTTGACTTTTAAATCACTGAATAGTTCTTTTAGTTTTCATCTTGGATTTAATGATAAATCCCCTATGTGACACATATTGGTCTTCAGCCAAATGAACTCTAATTCTCATCCAGCCAAAGTAATGACACTTCTATTCTTTCCTTTAAAGAAAGGGGATGTTACGTGGTATACAACCTGTGTAACCAGCTGAGAGTCACCTCCCCTACTCTTAGAGTGTGACGTCACCAGTTGTTGTGTATTGTATGTCCGCCATTAAACGAAGTCAAGTAAACTGTGTCGTCAGTGATATTTTGACAACTAATACTACATGTATTGTAGTAGGTGTCTGTAAGACACGTAACAGATCCAAGCTGGATTTACATCTTCCCTTCAGATGCTGGCGAATTTATCCACGAAAACGAACACATATTCTACGAATAAATTGTGGTATAACTAATTAAATACACTTTGAAAGACGTGGTCTCATACCCTCTCAGAAGGACAATATTTTTACGGCATTTCAACCTCCTTTGACGATACCGCCACTAACAATCGCATTTGCTAATTCCATTGATGTATTTACAAAACATATTATTCAAAATTTATGCAACAATTCTTTTTCCTTTTCAAAATCAATTCTAAAATGCCCTTCATTAGTCCCCACACATTCTCAATATGGTTAAGATCTGGGCTGCAGCTGGGTCAGTCTGAAGCTGGAACATTTTCGTCCGACAACCACTGTTTTGTGTAGTCCGTAGTGTGTCAACATATGTCCAAAGAAAATACACGGTGGCGTCACTCCACGTGATGATATCCCACCCCACATGTGAAATGTCGGGCTATGTTTTGGGCGTTGGTAGATAGATTTCACGGTATCTTTGTCCAAATTTTCACACAGTTCGGAAAAAGCCAGACAGGACTTTCATCAGAAAAGAAAACAATATTTTCGTGAGCCCTACACCAGTTTAAACGTCTTTCTGTTTGTGCATCTTTCATCAATGGTGAGGGAATTCCGCGCTTTTGACCCAGTTAAGTTTTTGTATGTCTCGTCTAAGGGTTTTATTACATACATGAGACTGCCTATAATCATCGCATTTCTGATATTCTCCGGCGATCCTTAGTATTGAACTTTCTTGGCCTCCCTGCCCCTGTCTTGTGCTCAATCCCAACTCATGACTGAATATTCTTTAAAGTTCTGTATTCTGTAGACAGAGACATTTCATGTCTACCAGCTAACTCTCTTGCATTAGTCACACCCCTTTCAAAATTGTCTAGAACAGCTTTCTTTTCTCTTCTGCTTCTGCTGTCAAACCTGCCATGTCAACAAAGGAAGCTGTCCTTTACACCAGGGAGATACCTCTTGATGGAGTAAGGTTCATTTGTAAGCTTACAAGAGTTGCCTCCCATATTGAGTACCTTACTACATTATGTAATACCTATTTCAAAATTCTATTATTAGTATTAGGAAACAAAGATTTTCTCAATAATTCCTGGGAAAATTGTACGTATATTTCCTCAAGATAAAAATGCCCTTTTAATTACACATGATGCTAATCATGGAAACGTGGTTTTCATTACCGAGAGAAACATTTTCAAATGTTATGTTCTGTCAATGATATTGTTTATTTGTGTACAATAAAATCTATCTGCAGGTCTCACGCCTGTAGTGATGGTGTGGATGTCAAGCGTTGCTCACTATATCTATCTCTGGTTTGCTGGTGCCAAAACTTAATCATTTACACATTAACTTTTGCAAAAATATTTGCCAATTTTCACTATCAAGCTGTGACAGTTTCGAATCGCTAATTCCATTATCGCTTGGTGTAGGTTTCCATTTTCAACAATAAATGAGTCCATTATACAATTCCGACCAAATCATAATGTTACATGCAGACTCGATACATGTATACGCAAAACTATTCGTTTGAAACCAACAGATAACAAAAATATGTTACACTAATAACAACTCTTTTATAGTAATTACTGAGCGTGTTTAACAAATAATGGCCGTATAAAATACAGTTGTAATTATCTAAGCGATAACAATAAACACCCAAAAGTGATCCATGATCAAGCTTCCAAAATAGGCCTTAGCCGGATGTCCAGAGTGAAATTACGATCTTCACACAAGCGTAGGTCTTGAAGTAATGTGAGACAATAGAGGAACACGCTTCCCAAATCTTATCTAACTACCTTTCAGAAAGTTCCATACAACGTTCGATTGGCGTATACCCGTTGACAACGCATCTAATACACATTTGACACGGGTGCTTCACGTCCTGCTCACGAACGTTGACCAGCGAATGACCGGCGGGTGTCAAACGAGAACTGCTTACATGTAAATTCGAGCTGCGTTAAGTAAAGAGGGAGTTGAAACAAAGATACAAACAACACGAGTTGTTTATCACGAAAGACAAGATTGGTTATGGATCTGTTTGCGCCACATAATATACACAAGATGGTCCAGTCATAATATGACTTTGTGTTCAGCTGCTTCTTTTTTTGTCAGAAGCTAGTGATGTATAAAGTACGTGACCTAGTCCTGCTTGACTGTATTGATTTTTCCATCACAAGGGATAAATATGTCAATGTCAAAACAGTGAGGGGTCTTTGTAATGTTAATTATCATTTAATTATTGAATTTCTAAAGGAATAGAATTGTTACATAAAATTTTATATGATTTGTAAAAAGATAAACGTTTTATAATTGGTAGTTTACATTATCCACGGAGATTTTTCAGGGCTTTACCCTGTTTAAAGTACTGTAAAATTATTGTCCTCCTGAGGTACGTAGGTCCCAAATGTAAATTAAATTTGTAAGTCCCCATTGTCCCTAGATATGAGTGATCTACCTTCAGTTGCTGGGTCGGTCTATAGTCCAGCTTTCTCCATGCAGGTAGCAAATGTACTGTAAGTCCCCATGGTCCCTAGTATAATGATCTACCTTCAGTTGCTGGCGGTCTATAGCCCATTTCTATGTTGCAATGTCCTAATTAGTACATGATTTTAAGTTACATGCTAGTTTTAAACTGTGATGTTAGAGCAACCTCCTCGTGGTGGGTGCTGGGTAACGCTAATGGCTCTTCACTCCCGTTTGAACCCGGGGGCAAATAGGTCCACAGCACCCTATTGCTGGTCGTAAGACCGAATTGGGCACCCTTTTCTCCTTGGTTGCGCCCCTGTGTCGGTGGAGGACGGTAGCCTGGTGGTTGAGGGCACTGGTTCCAGGAACAACGTTCCTTTGCCCAACACACCACTTCGACCCTTACTTCACCTAGACGGGTGGTAGAATAGGTCCGATTCTATCAATGGGATGGTCACGCCAGGTAAATATCTAAATATGGTGCATGGTAAATATTTTGCACAAATTTGATTTTGATATATATATATTGGTCTTGGCTATAAATGATTTTGAAAACACAAATTACTGATTTGATTAATTTGCCTGGAGTCCTATGCCAGAAGGCGGTGGCTCATGGACCAATCTGGTGATACAGATCTCTCAAATATCTGTAAGCTTTTCATGTCTCTATCTCTGGAGTATAACACCCCTGTAGCCCTGATGCTACAGACTGGCTCCCATGGTGGGTGGCTTGCAGGGGTGCCGAATTCTTATATTATACCACATCTCAATAAAATTTACATGGTTCATCCAAAGAAAATAAACGCAGACATGTAGATGTCCTTTCGTCTGATGAGGAGGTCGTTCCTGTGATGTCAGATTCTTGGCCACAATTCATCGTAATTACATCAGTTGATGGAAACCCACTAAAACTTAATCCATTTGCTATCTCAATGGGCATTAAAAGTGTCTGTGGAGATGCCAAGAATGTCACCCGACTACGGACTGGTGCCTTGCTAGTGGAATGTTCACGGAAACAACAATCAGTCAATAGTCAATCTGTTGGGCTTATAACAGTTTCTAAATACTCCCGTTGCTGTTTCAGTACGCAAAACACTGAACACGAGCAGAGGCATTATCAGAGAATCTATGTCAATCTTAGCGAAACAATATATCGAAAGTAAATTCACGTACGCCGGTATCAAAAGTATGGAACATGATCCAAAAAATCAAAGGCAAGGGTTCTCAGTCCAGCATTAGGCATCTTACAGACGGAGACGAGTTATCAACGAATAAATGCGATATTGCAAATAAACTGGAGAAACTTTGGCCAGACACCTTTCCTCATCAAATTAAGTACATCAATTAAAAAACAACAAGAAAAGACAACTATTAATTTCAATTTAATTAATGGGAAGATTACAAAGAAGTATTTTCGATTCATGAGCTCCATACTGCTCTTAAACAGGCTCACGATACTGCTACAGGAGCTGATAACATATATTATCAGCTCCTGAAGCACTTACCAGAATCATGTTTAGAGACCCTCTTAAACATTTTTGATAATGTTTGGTCTTCTGGAAAATTTCCTTCTTCATGGCTCGATGCTATTATTATCCCCATTCATAAACCTGGACGTGACCATACTGATCCTTTTAATTATAGACCAGTTTACTAACTAGCAGCGCTTGCAAAACAATGGAACGCATGATAAATAATCGACTTGTTTGGTACTTGGACACCAATAACCTAATAACAGATATACAATGTGGTTTCCGTAAAACAGAAGTACAATCGATCATTTAGTGCTTTTGGAATATTTTGCCCAAAATGCCATAATTTTTAAACAACATACAGTGTCGATCTTTGTGAATCTAGAAAAGGCACACGACACTACATGGCAGTGTAGTATTTTAAAAGATTTAAATGACTTTGGATTACGAGGCTATGGCCTCAAGCTATATCCCAGTTTTTAAATGACAGACAATTTCAAGTTCGAGTGGGTTCAACCCTGTCTGATCATTAAAATCAGGATCAGCGTGTCGCACAAGGTAGTATTTTGTCTGTCACACTATTTAGTGTCAGGATTAACAGTTTGTCAAGAGTTTTAAATGGTTCAATCGATGGGTCACTT